TTTTTTTTTTTTTTTTTTTTTTTTTTTTTTTTTTTTTTTTTTTTTTTTTTTTTTTTTTTTTTTTTACGATTATTGGAGTAAGTGATTTGTTGGATTTTTCCTAAACTGGAGCTTTGAGTAGTGGTCTGTAATGGCGGAGATTTAGGATACTGAGAAGAAACTGAGTTGAAGTTGTTGTATGGAAGCTCTGGTTCTTGATCTACAAGTAGTTCTACTGGAGGTTTTGGTTTTGGGGATTGGTGATAGGTTTTGGATTTCATTTCACTTCATTGGCCCTGTTTTTGTGTTCTTATTTCATCGTCTTCATCATTGAAACCTTCTTCGTCGGTGTGTTTGTAAAATATTGTACCTGAAGTTTGGTAAACCGAAGAATGGAGGTTTAAGAATCGGTTACGTAGTTTTGTTTTGTAACCAGTTTCTCTTCTAGACTGTAAAAATGGAGGAGAAAGAGGGTGTTGATTTCGGATTTGCATTAAAAGTGAGCCAAGCTCCAGATAGCTTCGGGATGATGGATTCGAGACCTGAAAATACAAGCACGGACAGCGAGCCACCTCCTCCTCCTCCGCCTCCGCCGCCGGCGACGGCGACGGCGACGGTGGAAGCAGCTCTGACGCTGGCGGGTACAGATGGAAAGAAGAAAAGAGGGAGGCCGAGAAAGTACGGACCCGATGGAACTGTAGTGCCAACATTGTCGCCAATGCCGATTTCATCATCGATTCCACTGACGGGAGAGTTTCCGGGATGGAAACGGGGAAGGGGGAGGTCAGTAGAATCGCTCAAGAAGTCGCGGAAGTACGATTATGAGATTCCAGGTAAAATATCAATGGTCTATATATTTGGAATCATTTGATTTGAAATTCTGTTGGAATCGTTGGATCATTTGAAATTCTGTTATGCTGGTTTACTTTACTTGTGTTTACTGTTACATTTGAGTGCCGATCCGTTTGATAGCAATAACTAATATGAATTGAAATCAGCTGTAAAACTTCGATATATATTCTTTTCTCTCTCTCTCTCTTTATTAGTGTGAGAGAATCTCTGTACTTGCAGGAAAAGATAAGAGGGGTCGGTCTTGTTATCTGGCGTAGAAAGCGATGGTTTTGAACGTATATTTGTGGGTTTTGTACCGTAGAATTATGAGGGGTTGTTTATTGGGTTTCGATGTGATAGTGGACTGCATCGTTGGGTTCACTTCAGATCTGCCGCAAATAGTACTTAATGGATCAAAAGTGACTTTGGAGCTTTCTGGAAAATGGAGGTAACTTTCTGGAAAATGGAGGTAACTTTCCTCCTTAGGATAGGGATAGCCTTTGAGAAAATAGCCATTGTTTGGAGTTTGGATGAGTGACCTGCTGTTTATTATGAACAGAAAATCTGTAGTCTAACATGGATTAAACTTTCCGAACTGGGCTGCTTATAATGAACAGAAAATGGAAGGAAAATGCATGGTACGTTATTATGGAAAGAGTTTTTTTTGGAAATTTCAAATGAAAAAACTGTAATTGGGAGATGAAATGATTTAGAGCATGTGGGTAACTGTTATCTGTTGGTGGTATTAGGTAATTGAAATTAGTGCATTTTTTTGTAACTGAAGAATATGGAAAATATTCTTATATTATCTGAAATCTATAGCATCTTGATTAAGATATTCTGGAGTATTAGTTTAATTGGTAGTGGATGAAGCGAGGAAGGTGAATATTAATTGATTGAAAATAAATAATCATGAAAACCCCATTTTATTCCCTTTTTCTGTTCCCTTAAATGGAAAACTAATGCCTTATATCATGAAAACAGAGGTATGGCTCAACAGAGGATACGCTATCCACAAAAGATGCTCAAATTTACGAGCTAATGATGTATTTTAAGTCAGTGAAATGCAAATGTTAGCAGATATGTAGTCCAGCTAAAAGTTTAAATTTTCAACCATTGTAATTTAAACTAGATGAAAGCATGCATTCAGGATTTAGGAAATCAGAGTTGGTTGCCCTTCTGTACTAAACTGTGGGGTGGGTTATTAGAGTTTCCAAGAAGGATTTTTGTTTTATGTCTCGGTCGTATGAATTCTGATATGAGATATAATTGCATTTTTCTCATTGACATTTTGAATTGATATCTTCAGGAAATATGTTTTGCGTTGTGTTCGAATTTAGGCTGATTTCCTTTGTGGTAAAATAGATAATTACTTGTGTTTTTCATCATTCAAAAGCATAACCTATCTGAACATTGATTTATGCTTGATTGTAAATTATTTAATGGTGAGAGTTGTAATTAATGTCTTAAATAAACATTCTGAAGTTAGGTATTTACGACGTCTGGACCTAGTCATGCAGATGCAATTTCATTGTAAAAGGAGAAATTTGATCCCATTTCCACATCATTCTTACATAATGCTTCTGTTACCCAGGTAACAAGGTTGCCTTCTTTGCTGGAGCAGATTTCACACCTCACGTGATCACTGTTAATATTGGTGAGGTAAGCCTTAGAATCCCTTGTCAAGGAGCACCTATTCTGCCATTAGTGAATTAGTATTGGATCAAATAATATGGTTTAGCAACATGATTCTTTGTATTTTATTCAATTTGGTGTGGGAGATAACAGCAGCTGTCATGATATAACTGATGTGTTATATTGCACGAGTTACCGTACAATACGACATGGGCATGATCATGTGTTTTCACTCTAATGAATTTGTTCAATGTGAAATTTAAACCTGCTTGAATTTTGGATAGTATTGAAAATCTTGAGGCTCAAATGACCACTTGTTTCTGGCTTGTTGAAATAGAAGGGTTTTCGCCGGTCCTGCTATTGATATACTAAACGAAACTTCTGGAAGTAAATTTTATTTGTTGAATTATGCAAAAAATTACCAAGACCACCTGCAACTTTGCTTGTGCGTACCAGATTAAACATCAATAACCAGTTAAACAATTTGGAGGAATTAATTACAAAAGTTATCTGTGATCTGCCATTGCAATGATCTCACAATTTCTGTTCATTCTTGATATATTGTTGCTACTTATTCCTCATACAATTTTTTCTACTCCTTTAGGATGTTAACTTGAAAGTAATGTCATTTTCTCAACAAGGATCTCGGGCCATTTGTATACTCTCTGCTAATGGTCTGGTTTCAAATGTCACACTTCGGCTGTCAACATCTTCTGGGGGTACTCTAACATATGAGGTAGAGCACACCTTCCTTGATCATATAACATCTAAGATCCTTTGTATTGATGAATCTATGGGTCCACTACGTGCATATTCTATAAAATGAGAGCACGTTTGATCTTATAGCTTATTCCATGCTCTGTTTTCTTTCATAGACTCATTTTATTTTTTGTTCTCCGAGTCATATATCCGACTACACCGAGATCTAATGTGTATTTGGCTGTTTTCTTTCCGATGTTTCATTTTAATTGTTATACGTGCATATGAACATTTTTAGGATATTGAACTTTATTTCTTTTACTAATAAATTCTTAAGAACAACCTATGAATTATGAAATAAGGACTGATATCTAGAACTCGATGCTCTCCACAACAAAGCCCCACTCAACAATATTCTTGCTCCTCTAACTCCCTTATCCACCTCAGCAGGACCTATAGGTGCTTCCCTTGATTTTTCACTCTCTTTTTCCTTGAATACACAAGCCTAGTGAATCCTGTAATCTAACTTTTGTAATCCCAGCGTGATAAGAATTTTCTTGCTTATTTGAACTTTTTTTTTCTGACAAATAAGTGTCCAAAACTGCTTTCACTTGTACATTGTTTTTTAAAAAAAAGTTGCTGCTTTCAGTTTTTCATATGTTAAATGTACAGAGAATTCAGAAAGCCAGAGTTGTTAGCCATCAAAACACCCCATCTGAGAAAACACACTTGGTAACAGCTGACTGTTGCTGTTATTCTAGTCTTTAACTGTTCTTTCTCGTTGATATTTTTTTAAATGCATGTTCAAGGTACAGGCTACCATACGGGTTTTGGTGTTTGATAATATTTGAATTATTGGTTAAGAAATAGAAATAGAGCAGCTAAAACCTTGTTTGTGAATTATTTCATTTTTACTTTCAAGTTTTTTTAAAAAAATATATTTTTTAATTTTACATTATTTTTTTTTAAAAAAAAATTAATTTGTTTTCTCAAAATTTCTTTATTTTGTATTTCACATTGTTAAAAACATGAAAATATGCTTTGAAAGTTACTGTTTTTTCTTTTTCTTTTCCCTTTTTAATATTTGAAGATTCTTTTTTTTTTCCGGTTGAAGTAGGTAATTGTATGTAAATAAGCTTGTTCTTTAGAAACAGACCCAAAAATAGAATAATTATAAAAGAGACCCTAAATTTTATTGTTCTTTTTTCAAATTTTTTCAAGAAGACAACTATCTCATAATTTTAACATATTTGTAAAGAGGAAAAAAAAACGGAAAAACTCCTCATATTCTAGATATTTTCTTGAGAGCGTAGCAATTATCATTTATCTGAATAGTGTTTTACATTAACTCTATCGAAATAAATGTTCTCTTGAAGCATAATTGATGGTTAGCCAAGTTGAAAATTTTTCTTTATCTTCTGGAATATGGCCTCAAAACATTTCAAATGATCTTGATGCCAAGTTTTCTTGCATCCATGATTGCTCAAAAGTCAAACTTGTGAACTCTTTTATCGCATGTTACTTGTTACTATTAGCCAATCTATGCAATTTTATCCCTGCATCTTATCTTCCAACTGTCATGGTAGCATTAGTTATAGAGGAACCTCACGAACTGTTATGATTATTAGGGTCGATTTGAGATACTTTCGTTATCTGGATCATATATGCCTTCCAAGATTGGTGGAACAAAGAGCCGATCCGGAGGGATGAGTGTCTCTTTGGCTTGCCCAGATGGCCGAGTAATGGGTGGAGGACTTTCCGGCATGCTAATAGCAGCTGGTCCAGTGCAGGTATTATTTTCTCCAAATGAGTCAAATTTATAAGGGCGTAAGTTCAGTACCCAGAGGCACAAATCCATGATTTGTTTTAATAGTAGTTTGTTTGTAAAAATATAAACATACATATATGTAGAGTTCGATTTTGAAGAAAATATAACTTACGTAAATACATACAATTGTACCTTGGCAAAATAATTGGTTATGCTTCTGTTTTGTTCTATAGTTATGTTGTGGTAAAATAAATTGTCTGCCTTCCATGGTCGCCAGGTGGTTGTGGGCAGTTTCCAACCACCAGGCCATCAACAGGAGAATAAACCAAAGAAGAGCAGGATGGAACCTACATCAAATGCAATTTCACCTCCTCCCGCTATTAAGCTCATAGGAGATAAAACAGATTCTTTTGACCCAAATCCAGCTTTTAGAACTTCACCAGTCAACGAAAAACCACCTTCTCCAGAAGAAACAAGAGTTGTCCTCAACCATTCAAACCATGAGGTATCTTGTTGATCGCCATCACCTGCATTTAGAATCTTTCATGTACATTTGCTGGTGCATTGACATTTTCTCAACCTTGATCATCAGCGGTATGAGCTCATTGATTCTGTGAAGGTATGAGCTCATTGATTCTGTGAAGGGCTAACTAAGAGTGTTTAAACCACTGACGTATCTGTCGTCATCAGGTAACATCTCTAGATAGGAGTTTAAGCCTAATAGATAGGAGTTTGATCATTAGGCTTATTTGTTGTTTGTTCTCAGCATGTAGGATCTCGTGTGTTGTATCCCACTTCACGTTATAGCAGTTTAAGTGTAGGAATTTGTGTAAATTATTCATGTTCTAGAATTCTCTGTATCTGAAATAATAACATTAAGTTCAATTTCAAAGACTGTTTTCCAATGATCTATTCTTGACATCTTCACTTATCTGAGGCCTCGGCCAATTTTGTAACTTTCCCATTATTAAGCTGTAGCCCACCATGCATTCAACGTTTACTCTGTTCAGTAAAATAGATGGTCATTAAAGCAGATTTAAACACTCTTAGCTAATACTTAAATCTGCAAACGTACTAGAATCGATGCCCAGAAGTTCTTATTTTCTTGTTACAGGATTTAAATGATTAGAAGTATTATAGCATGACTGTAAAGAGAATATTCCAGTCTTAAGGATATTCACGTCCTTGAATCAAACACTAGAGAAATACATCTTCTCGAAGCTGTTTTTTATTGAACCTCCTTGATTCTTATGCCTGTATCGTATGTTCATATTGCGTACCGTACATGTCCCAGAATAGAGACAAGACTCTACTTCCAGGTAAAAGTGACGGAGTTCTTGTTTGGCTAGGTGGGAGTACTGGAAAACAAATGGAATTCGATTCAATTGGTTCGAGTTGATTGATTGGTTTTCGGAAACTGACATGAATGTCCCAACTACTCGACCAATCTCGAGGTTCTTTGTCTTTCTTCTCTCCACCCACTGTTAACCTTTTCAATGAACTCTTCCACTCTTCTTTTGAAATCCTCATCGTCCTCGTCCTCGTCCTCTTCCTCATCCTTGTCCTCATGATCATCACCACTCCCTTCAACACTGTCGCTGAAGTCTGGTTCATTTAGGGTCTCTGTCACTGCACACACATCAACTGTGGCATTTTTCTGAAGCATGAAATTCTGTTCTGCATTTGTGTTGCTGTGAATGACGATTGAAAGAGGCACATCATCATGATTTTGGTGATCAGAACTGGAGAAGACTGGTCTTGAGGTGAAGAGAATGATGAGAATGATCAAATTGAAGATGCAGAAGATGAACAGAGTGCTGGAAGCCGCCTCGGCAGCTAGTTCCAAAATGGAATCAGCCATGGCTGAAAATTTTGGTTAAAACTTAGAACTGATAGAGAGAATTGGAGCAAGAGAGGGAGATGGAAGGGAAATGCAGCTTGTTTTTTGGTATTTATAAGGTTTAGTAATGTGGGAAGTGTAACGAGGAAGCTTTTTGTTATGGAAGCAGACCAATTATGTGCTGTGAAAGCAAGTTGAATGGCTTTTTTAAAGTCAAGTCAAACTGTTTTGTTTAATGAATTTCAAATTTAGATATGAAATGAAATATGGAGATTCTCTACATGTTTACCCATCTTCATTTTGGAATTTACAATAATCTCTTAGTATTTCGATAATATTTTATCCACCCGTTTGTTAAAGCCTATTAGGGTCTATGCGTAGATGTTAGTTCAATTATAAGTGTACTTTACATTTTAAGTTTGTGTTCATAAATTAGAACGTTAAAAGAGCATCTAATAAGTTTCACTTTTGTACTTAATAGGTCTCGAAACTTAAAACATTGTAGTTCTAACACTTGCATTTTGTAAGTAATTGATCTTCGATTTAATTCATAGCACTCTAGAGGTCAAGTTGCAAGTCACCTAAAAGCTTATACAACACAAGTTTATAGAAGTTTAAACCATAATTGCACAAAAACAATAACTACCAAACTTAGTACTTTTAAAAAAGAAACACAAATTAACAGCCTCAAGTTTACATGATCTTGGTTTACAGAATGAAAGTTTCAAAAAAGTAAAACTATAGTTTGACCACAACAATACCCACCATCTCTAAACTTGAAAGGACTGACTGACTGCATTAATCTATGACTTCTTCCTTCTTTTATTGCTTGACAAACTGCCATTGTTGAATCCCCTAATATCATTTGTTGTCTCAGCTGTGTTTTGTTTTTTCATACTTTTCCTCCCGCCGAATCCGAACTTCGAATCTCTGAAATCTCTTTTCTTCGGATTTTTCCCTTTTCCACCTCCACCATGTCTTGCCTTCCCTCCGGAGCGATCGCCGGGAGACACCCCTGGCCTCTTCTTACCACCAGACCTATCAAACGCCTTCCCATCTTCAAACAATAAGTCCATCTCACCGCCTTTATCAGAAAAACCACTCTTCTGCCTCTGCTTCCTCCATTTCTTAACAGACTCAATCTCCTCTTTCTTTTGTTTAGCCCTCTCCTTTAGCTTCTGAGCTTGAATCTCTTTAGCTAATTTCTTCGCTTCTCTAGCCTTCCTTCTTTCCTCGGCCTCCTCCATCTTTTTCTGTTCCATTAGCAACCGGCCTTTCACTTTTACCATGTGGGTATCCGTCTTCACCATCTCTGCATAATAGTCTGGTGGCCTGAGAAAAGGGAGACCTAAAGATTGGAACTTCTCAAGGGCCATTCTTGTTCCCTGCAAAGCCTGTGTATAGAATGCAAGCTCTCTAGCTAGATCATCATTTACATCTACCTCTTTTTCTTGATCAATATCAAGAGAGAGTTTGTGTATCCATCCCACGTTTTCGGGCCAGCTAATGTCTCCAAGCTTATCAAGAAGACCATCGGCATTATATATTGCATTCTTCGACGGTTCAGACAATTTCACATCCTCTTCCTCCTCAGATTCAGATTCAGATCCAAAATCAGAATCTTCACTATCAAGATCATCATCTTCCATGGTATCCTCATTTACGAAGCTATCCTTTTCATCTGATACACCCATTAAAACCTATCGAAAACGATGATCATCGTTAAGGTTAGACCTCTAGACCTGCTAATTCATAGGCGATATAACCCAATGCACGCATTGAAGGAAGACAGCCACAGTTCTAGATTTAATTCCGTTAGTATCATCCATTAAATAGCAATACATCTCGAGGAAAAATGATCTTTTCAAAAATCAGACTAACTATTCAATTATCAAGTCGACAAAATGACCTAAAGATTCAACGCAAACATTACTTTCAGCATTATGACAGCATTATTCATCATTTGAAGACATGAAAACTATGCCATACAAAATATACTTAATACCAGCTAAAGAGGGACGGTGAACAATAATCCTCACGATATAATAACATACGAGGCAACAAGAAGAGCAAGAAAATAATTATAATCAAAATTAATGACTACACATTTTCACACAATCAAAGACTACGAATCAAAATCGAGACAACTGAGGCACTAACACCAAACTGACAAAACCAAAACATGATTATAAGCGCAAAGGCAAATAAAAAGAAGCGAAGCAACAACGGATTACCGATTTGGATCGAAGAATGAAAATGTTTTTAGAATCAAATGCCAACCTTTCTACCGTCGCTTCCAGCTGCTCGAAGTGCGGAGGGAAATCGACGCTTAAAGCCCTTTGATAAACCCTAAAAACCAGCGGGGCAAATTGCTAACGAAGGGCACAATTTTTAGGGTTTTAACAATTTATTGTGGACTCATAGAAAATATATATTTTCGGAAAAAGGGAAATTTGATTGGTTAAAAATATTAAAGTAAAATAAATAAATAAATAATCATTTTTATATCATAGTTCATATTTTTTTTCTAAAAGAATATAGATATGAACAATTATTTTAGTAAATATGATAACAAAACAATAATATAATACATCAAATTCAATTTTTTTAGGAGAAAAAACAATATTTTTACCTACAAAATATTTTTTTAAAATGGCGAATATTAAAAATTTACTGATTCCCCTCGTTCATTACTTGCCCTACATTAACGTTGTCTAGCTCGACTCTAACCGATACATAGAAACCCTAATCAGCCAGTTCGTATGCCTGTGATCAGTTTAAACAATTCATAGACCATTGTCGTGTTCCCAAAATCAAATCAAGAATAAAATACATACACCACCTCTGACACTAACCTCGAGCTCCTCTTTCACCTTGGTAGCTAACTATTTGATCGTTTACCGTGTAATTTCTACAAATCAGCTAATTATATTAAACGTACTCATCCAAATCAAAACAGTTCGAGATCTTTCGAATTTTGGGTTCGAATTAGTTAGTCTTAATAATTTGAATCCCAACTTCACTCGAATACAAGGACAAGAGTGACAACAACATTTTCAAGCATTAAAAAAAATCACTTAAAATTTTTACCACGAAAAAAGAGAAGATTATATTTACCAATCAAGTTACGAGCCATTTTTTATTATTTGTTAAGAATATTTAGTAATAAATTATAGTTTATCATATATATTATATTTGATATTTGTCTTATTATCATAGATATCTTTCCATTTATTGTTATTTCCATTTATTACTATTTCCATATCCTTCTAATTCATTTCATTATAAATAAGATAACTTTCACACCATTTAGGTATGGTGGATTAATCAAACATTCACATGGTATCAGAGCCATTTCGGTTTAACAACCCTGATCCTTTCTTTTCAATGGCTTTTGAATCCTCTAATCTTCTTCTCTACCACCCCTGCTGGTTTTGACGCCGCAGGGGCAGTCTTCATGGCTGCCGTAGTCGGAGCCGATTGATTACTCTTCTGCTCCACCCTATTGACCTCCAAATCACCTTTCGTCATACTCTGTACATACAACCTCACCTTTTCCAACCAAATCGGTTTTCCCCTTGGCCAATATAGTCTCTCTGATTTTCTTCCCAATCAACATTCATCCTTCACATAAACCCTAACCTAAACCTATCAACCTTTTGCAGAGATTTACCTTCGGAATCTGGGTGCCGCACTGGCCTATTCGCCAACCAAGTTGCTGCCGCCCTTCCTGCCAAAATTGGCTTCTTCGCCCGATGAGGCGACTCTTTCGACTTCCCTTCTCGCCAAAATTGGCTCCTTCGCCCAATGTGGCGACTCTTCCGGCTTCAACATTGTCTTTGTCCCTTGCTCTAGGTTTCCCCTTCTACTTCTTGGGGTTAGAAATATTCTCACTAGAGCCAAGGCAGCATCGTCGCTAAGCGACAATCCCTCTTCATGGGTTAGACATATTCTCGCCGAAGCCAAGGCAGCATCGCCGCAGAGCGGCGATCCCTCTGCAATTTTTTATGGCCAAGGACCGAGTTGTTAGCATCTTCATGAAAAGTGTTTCTCAATCTCTTTGAATTTTTTAGATTCAAGCTTCACATTTGTTTAAAATCCGATGCTTAGCTTGTGGTGGGGTGTTAAGGATATTTAGTAATAAATTATAGTTTACCATATATATTATATTTTATTATAAGGCAAATATCGGTATCTTTCCATTTATTGTTATTTCCATTTATTACTATTTCCATATTCTTGTAATTCATTTGATTATAAATAAGATAACTTTCACACTAAAATGGTGTGTGGATTAATCAAACATTCACGTTATTTAATTTAAAATTTTTATAAGGTTAAATATAAAAAATTTATGTGTTTTTTTTTTTAAATAGTCAAAATATATATATATATATTAATCAAAGGGTAAATCCCATTGGCTCAAAAAAAATTATAAAATAATTTCATTAATTTTTAATATTCTTAATTAAAAAAATGGTAGGGCCTGGATTTTCAGTTAAGCCCATTATTATTAATAATTGTGGCCTTTTATTTGGTAATTTTCTGGCAGTAAAAATATACAGTGACATGATTTTAAAATTATTAAAACCCTAAAAACTGGTAGGTTAGGATTTCCTATTGAATAATTCCGACCTACAATTTTGACTTTTTTTAAATTATTAATTACTTCATTTCACTATTCTTCATCATCAATTTGGTCCCATTCTTTAAAACTTGCAAAATAAATAAATAAATAAAATTATTTCATGAACATATTAATTATCTAAAATAGTTAAAAAAAAAAATCAAACCCATAAATTATTTAAGTCCGAATATTGACGTAATGTTCAAATGAAAGATGTATGAATGAACTGAGACTATATCTAAATGAAAGTGACCCTGAAAATACGTTGGTTAAAAATAAATTAATAGTTATTACCGATCACTCAATCGTAAAAACTCTAAAATTAAATATGATTGGTTTAAAACAATCTTACATTGTCTGTCTCGTGTTGGTCTATGGAATAATTAATTTATTATTATTATTAATGAAAATTTGCTAGTATCTATTTAATTCATAAATTAATTACAAAATAATTTTTTTTTTTTTTATGAATTATGTGGATAATATTTAAAATAAATTATTTATTGAGGTGAGAAAGACCCAAGAGCTTACTAGATGTATTAAAGTCTAAAGTTGAGACAAAATGATATGCTTTAGGTAAAAAAAAAAGAACACAACTTTTTTGACTTTTTTGCCCTCTCCCACACATCCCATCCCATCCCATGATTTTCATTTTCAAAAATATTTATCAAAAAGTCCCTATGGACCCTCTTAATTGCATTTTAGTTCTATTTTTCTTTTCCATTTGGGACCTCCTTTAATAATTCCCTTCTCATTTTCCCCCCCATTTTCATCATTCTCCCTATCTTCTTCAAATTTATATAATTTTGTTTTTTTTTTAATTTCTTATACGGCTTCGAATGGAATTTGTTTCCTTCTTTTCGGGAAAATAAAGTTGGTCCCGTGATATTTTGAATCATAGGTAACTTTATCGAGAAGTTATTAATGATGTTCGTGTAAGACTTTCGAGTTATTTCAATGTCGAGCAAGTAAAATCTAAGCTCACTTCTAACAAATAAGAAATGCTTCGTTTCCCTCTCGAATCGATATGGGATTTCACAATCTACCCACTTGGGATCCCAACATCCTCACTGGTATACCACCCGATATTTGGCTTTGATACCATTTGTAATAATCCAAACTCACTTCTAAAAAATATTATCTATTTTAGCCCTTACTTTTCAATTTTAAAATGCGTCTATTAGGGAGAGGTTTCCACACATTTATAAGAAATGTGATAAACTCCAACCATGCTGGATTTTGAAAAGCTAGAAGTCATTCTAGAATCCTTGCAAACTTTCATAAAGAATGCTAACTTAACGAATTGATTCCAACCCAAAGCTGGTTAGAAGGTGAATAAGTCTTAGATTGAACTTGAAATCTATGATGGTCACTCCTAGATTCCAATATGACTCGCTCTAAAATTTACTTGATCAAAACTAATCTAATGAATCGGTTTAAACATCAAACCTAAAGCAATGTTTGAAAAATAATAACACCAAAAAGGTTTTGTTTGTGAATCAATTCGTTAAGTTTTTTTGTTTTTTTGTTTTTGAAAGTCTGAAAGGATTGTAGGAGAACCTATAGCTTTGCAAAATCCAGCATTGTTGGCGTTTATCATAATGTTTCATTTTTCTCTCCAACCAACCTGAGATCTCACAAATCAACTCAAATTTTACTCAATAACTTATAGTTAATTGATAAAGTTACTATTAGTAGTTGTAATATTATCCTTGATTTACTTTGATTATTCGACAAAATTCAATTCCAAACACTGTTGACCTAATAGTTCGTAGTCAACCTATCTCTTCCAAATACATCACGTGTCGATGTCAACTCATATTAATTTAACATGACTAAGTCAAACAAGCTGCAAACTTAGTTTGAGGGAATCGTCCAAACATGGTTCTTACTCTGCCTCGATAGTTAGTTACTTCACTCAGCTCATTATACACCTATCCATCACGACACGAAATCTTCTACTTCTATAATCCACAATGAGAACTTTCGAGCTTTGTCTTATTCGCTAACGTGAGCCTAATTCAATTAAAAAAAAAAAAAACCAAAATGGCTTTATGTGATAATAATTATTTACCGGGCTCCATTATCTTTAGGTCGTATCATAGATGTAAAAGTGATTTAATTTTCAGAATGATAATCATTTAAAAAATTAGTGTTCTTCCTTTCACTCAATTAAGTAGGTAATTAATCATAAAATATTTATGAATTATCATAAAAAGTACTCCACCAAATCATTAATCATTACATTTTTATTTTCTTTTTAGAAAAATATAAAATTAAATTAATAAATACTTTGTATCATAATTTAGCTATCACCATTAATAATAGTAAAAGTTGCAAACCTATTCCCTAATTCATTCATTATGTCTCTAATCAATTAGGCAAAATATTAATCACCTATTTTTTTAATACTAAAAATTAATGACACGTGTTTTTTTTTCTTTTCTTAGAAATACATAAATAATAAGTTCCTATGGAGTTTTTTATTTTATTATTATAATTAAAATTATTAAACTAATTCACATAAATTTTAATATGTATATAAAAAAATAAAAAAAATTACTTTCTTTAAAATACAAAATAAAAATGTCTGTTGGGAATTACCAATGATGTCAACAAAGTTGGTATTTGCTTTTTATTTATTTATTATTATTTATTCAATTCAATTATTGTAAAAAGAAAAAAAAGTATCCATTCAATCTTGAAAATTTTTTTTTTCTTGTTCTAATTTCTAACCATTTTAAATTATTCATTATTTATTAAAATAGAAAAATAATATAATTCGGTAATATATATATATAATTAATTTAATATAATTAACTAGAGAAGTGTAATAATGTGAGGTTCCCTATAAATTTGCCAATTTTTCTATGTACGTTATCGTCGTCGTCGTCTTCTTCCTCTCTCTCTCTCTGCAAATCACTTTTTTCACTCTTATTTCTAAGCCCTCCATTTTCGCTTCTCTCCGTTAACTCATCATGATCTTCCAACTTCAGCCAACGCTCTACTATAAAGGCCTCTAATCTCCATTCCTCTTTTGCTTCTGCAACTCCTATTCGACACCGCCGGCGAGTTTTTTTTTTTTTTTTTTTGGACGACGGTGATGTTGGAAAGTAGTATCATGGCACGAGTATCGGGACGGAGTTGGAGAAGTGAGCTTTTGGATTTCTAGATGAATGACTGTGATTTGTTGTTGTGATTGCATTTTGGTTTCTGTTGTTTTGATTGATGGCTTCCACGAATTCACCGCCCAACATTGATGCTTCGGCGTTGACGGATGATTTAGTGACGAAAGCTTTGAATAAACGGTATGAGTGCCTTGTAACTGTTCGAACGAAGGCAATTAAGGGGAAAGGGGCTTGGTATTGGGCTCATTTGGAGCCTGTTCTTATAAGAAATCCTAGTAATAGTCTTCCGAAAGCGGTGAAGCTCAAGTGTTCTTTGTGCGATTCTGTTTTCTCGGCTTCGAACCCTTCGCGGACTGCATCTGAGCATTTGAAACGAGGCACTTGTCCTAATTTGAGCTCCATTTCAAGGTCTAATGCTACGGCGTCGCCGTTGCCGATATCGTCCATTCCTTCTCCGACATTGCACAACCACAAGAAGCGAAGCTCTCAAATGAATGCTCCGATTCTCACTGCTTCCTATCAGGTACATTCTCTTGCCATGATTGAGCCAACGCGTTCCTATGCTCCGTTAATTTCCTCGCCGCCGACGCCGGTGGCTCAAAATCCGGTTGGGATGGCGAGTAAGATGGAGGTGAATCAGCATCAGTTGGTGTTATCAGGTGGGAAAGATGATTTAGGTGCACTAGAAATGCTGGAAAACAGTGTCAAGAAACTGAGGAGTCCACATGCCTCACCTGGACCAAGGTTAAGTAAGGAACAAATTGATTCTGCAATCGAATTACTGACGGATTGGTTTATCGAGTCGTGTGGGTCAGTATCTCTTTCCTGCCTTGAGCATCCGAAGTTTAAAGCCTTGCTTAGTCAGATGGGCTTGCCTTCATTACTTCGAACCGACATTTTAGGAGCTCGGCTCGATTCCAAGTTTGAGGAGGCCAAAGTTGATTCAGAAGCCAGGATTAGAGATGCTTCGTTTTTCCAGATCGCTTCGGATGGGTGGAAGAATAAGAACTGCTGTGGCTATTACTGTAGCGAAGAGAGTGTAGTTAAATTTATGGTTAATCTTCCAAATGGTTCTACGATGTTCCAAAAAGCATTGTTTACAGGGGGATTGGTGTCACCCAAGTATGCGGAAGAGGTTATTTTAGATACGGTCAATGAGATTTGTGGGAATAGTCTGCAGAGATGTGTGGGGATAATAGCAGATAGGTATAAGGGCAAGGCATTGAGGAATTTGGAGATGAAGAATCATTGGATGGTAAATCTCTCTTGCCAGCTTCAGGGTTTTATTTGTTTGATAAAGGATTTTAACAAAGAGCTTCCACTTTTCAGGGTAGTCACTGAAAATTGCTTGAAGGTTGCAAACTTTGTAAACACCAAATCTCAAGTTAGGAATTGTTTAAACAAGTATAAGGTGCAGGAGCTAGAAGGTCGATGGTTGCTTCACGTTCCTTCGCCAAATTGTGACACATCCAAAAACTTCTCACCTGTTTATGCAATGCTTGATGATATGCTTAGCTCTGCTCATGTCCTTCAAATGGTTGTGTTAGACGAATCTTATAGGTTAGCATGCATGGAGGATCCACTCGCTTCTGAGGTTTCAAGTCTGATACAAAATGAACGCTTTTGGGATGAAGTGGAGGGAGTTCATTCACTTGTGAAAATGATCCGAGGGATGGCTCAAGAGATTGAAGCCGAAAGGCCACTGATTGGTCAATGCTTGCCTCTCTGGGAGGAGCTGAGAACAAAAGTGAAGGAATGGTGTGCTAAGTTCAGCATAGCTGAAGGGCCAGTGGAGAAAATTGTAGAAAAGCGGTTTAGGAAAAATTATCATCCAGCATGGTCTGCTGCATTTATACTGGACCCGCTTTACTTGAGGAGGGACATAAATGGGAAATATCTTCCACCCTTCAAGTGCCTTTCACAAGAGCAAGAAAAGGATGTTGATTCGCTTATTGACCGGTTGGTATCCAGGGAAGAAGCTCATGTCGCATTCATGGAGCTTATGAAATGGAGATCCGAGGGGCTAGATCCACTTTATGCTCAGGCAGTTCAGGTCAAACAACTAGACCCTTTAACCGGAAAGATGAAAATTGCCAACCCACAGAGTAGGCGACTTGTCTGGGAAACTTGCCTAAGTGAGTTCAAGACCCTTGGTAAGGTTGCACTGAGGCTTATTTTCCTTCATTCAACATCTTGTGGCTACACGTGTAAGTGTTCTATCTTGAATTTGGTTTGCTCACATCGGCACTCGAGGATCGGCTTGGAGAGAGCTCAGAAGATGGTATTTGTTGCAGCTCATACCAAGCTTGAAAGGAAAGACTTCTCTAATGAGGATGACAAAGATGCAGAACTATTTGCAATGGCGGATGGTGAAAATGACATGCTCAATGAGGTCTTTTCTGATGCACCCTCAATGTAATGTCTTCTTTTGAACTTCTAGAATTATGGAAATAGGGTATATTAAATTCTTTTGTTGTTTTAATTCTTCTTCCTTTTCTTTTTTGTTCTTTTTTCTTTTCAATTTTTGTGTTGCCCGTGTAGAGTAGATTGAGCTATGTACTGATAGAATCTACGCAGCTGGTCAGGAATTGAGTTATGAGCACTCTTGTAATGTTTTTCTGGATCAACGTGGGACTTGAAGTGCTAGTAACTTGTCACCCCTTTAAATTGACGATTATTATCTTTGGACTGTGGAATTAACTTGTTCTGACTAAGAAATTTCTGGTATATAATCCTTGTCTTTGTATGCATCAAGAACACGTTATGCCTTTGACGGGCACCCGAATGATCTTCATGGTTAATCTTTCTGATTAAGTTTAACCATGTTAGCTCCTTCAAAGACTACTTGAGATAAAATATGAGTTTATGTCGCCATTTTCCTTATGATAAGGAAATTCGGTTCTAGTAAATGAAGCGAGTCCATGTTCCCTGGATTGTCACAATTTTGAATACCTCTTTGACACTGCTAGGCTAGCTAGTAAATGTAGCCAACTGACTTACCACACTACAAAGTGTGCCCCATTGTACGAATTTTCTGAAATAAAAAGTAGTGAAGGTTATTAGATTCTTGCATTCAAACAAAATTTCCCCCTGTAGTAACTATATCATGCATAGCATGACCTCATTTTAAGGTCATGAACCTCCTAAACATTAACATTTATGATTTCAATTTTTACTAGTACGGATGGTTAGAGATTGCTGCTCTGTTTAGCTTCTTCATTTGTATGTGCTTAGTACGTTAAAAGTCTATTATAGCATTAAACATTGCTACATTTTTCTGAAAAGAGAACATGAAAATATTTTTTCTTTATCTGAATAGTTGTGTTTTCATGTTATTTATTCAAGCATCAAGGTAGAAGATGATTAAACTAATTTTCATGACTAGAAAGCCCAAATGTTTAATTAATTTGGGCATTATGAAGATCTAATCAATATTTCTTATTTCATAGATAAAGATGATCAAAGCAAGTAAGAACCTTGATTTTTCAAGGCTTGGTGGATAAAGAAATTGGACAACCTCAGAAGTAATGTTGGCTTGAATTTTCTGCAACTTCTTTTATGCAGTACAAGGCTGGATGTGTTTGATCGAATAGAACCAGAGTTGTCGAAGTCAACCTCGGACTAGGTACTATGTTTGCAGCTGAAGATGCACTTCTCCGATAGAATCCCAGATATATCTCCTGTTGTGCCTACTTTTGTTGCTTTTTGAGCCCAACTGTGATGAGTGGATGTCTATCTCAATGCTGTTGTAGATGTCATGGTCAAAGAAAAGACATTTACAAGGTGACATATCCTCTTCTCTCTCTCTCTCCCCTTCTCTATGTTTATCCGTGTGGTGGGGGAGGGCAGACACCTTCAAGCACGAGCCTTTGAGCATGCATTTTCTTTATTCATTTGTTGCTCTCTTCACTCCTGTCACCATTTTTTAGTAGCTTGTTATTGAAATCTTCCTGTTCTTATGAGATTTTTACTCTTTGAATGGGCCCTTAGTGAAATTTCCACCTGAAAGTTGAACTTTGAAGATTCGTAGATTATTGGTTAGCCTTGGCATGATTGCTAAAAAGTCTTGAGCAAAGGGCGAGCAAGGAGGCTGTCGGCATGAGTATGCACATAGCAAGGCCGAAGGGGATGTGGCAGCGAACTTGAATTGATGTTGCATGTATGGTTCAGAAAACAACTTTGACAACACAAAGCAGGTTGGTAGTGCTTTTGAGGCGACATGTTTTGTTTATTATTTTTTCACTATTCTTTTCAACCTCTCGGCTCCAACAAAGAAAGTTAATATTCATGGAATATCTTTTGTTATAACAATAATTTTAATGTTTGATGAGGATGTCAATAGAAATAATAATTGTCGCTATATAATATAATAGAGAACATTATAGTCAATTTAGGATGGATGCTATCATTTAACGTAGATTACCATTTACCTGTATACATTTTTACAAACCTGGACTACGTATTCTTTTCCTAGGTTTCTCCTTCTTGCTTTTTAGTGAAGTTTCCTTTCATACTTGATTCTTTTTTCTTTGTAAAGTACTTCATTGCATTTATTATATTTCAGGTAGATATTGATTTAAGAGAATGGAGGAGGTTCTAGATCTCAAAGGATCCAGTATGCTAAATTTTCCAATTTATCTTTTATGATGGTAAGAATAAAATCTTTTTGGTAGTTTATCTTGATCTATCTTTCTCATAACGTTTCATTGAGCATCCTCTGCCTAACTTTTCCTTGCTAAAATGGAAAGTTAGATGCCATTTAGGTGCAGAGGAGCCCTGAGAGAGAGAGAGAGAGAGAGAGAGAGAGAAGGGGGGGGGGGGGGG